ATGTTATGTGATAGTATCCAGTAATCATTGTATTTATATTTTAACCACAGAACAGCAATGTTCACCCTTATTTACATAAATAATCACAATCAATTTATATAAAATTAATACAACACAATAGTGAATTAGTTTATTTATGTGTTAGAGCAATATTTTGGAATCTGGTCAATGTGACAATCATAAAGTTCAATAGTAACGAACAGTCAATTGTATTTTCTTAATCCGTCGATTGTACTTTACAGAAGAATGTGACCCCAAATGTGTCATGCATGAACTTGTATACTGTTGAAGCCAATGTTCATAAAGAATAAACAAAAATGGTGTGATTTTGGATGATTGACTTGTATGAATTCTACTTCCATTTTGTCCAACATTTCTACTTTATAATTAGTCGTGTTCATTACTGTTTTATAAGAAAGTTTATTTGTTCTTAAAACAACATTGTCTTAAATGTAAAATGAATACGAACTGATGAAATATGGATTGTATGGGAGAGGGTTATAAGAGTTTGTTGAACGCTGTAACTGGATGTAGATGTATTTGACTCCACTGATAAAATATAAATCTTAATTCTCTTCTCATACATCCTGATAGTATTCCATTGACCAAGTGGCAATGTGGACTCTAAAAATCTAGTGACTTGACATCGCGTAAACTAAGTTCAAATGTAAGGTGATAGTTGGAGATTGTTGACTGGATACTGGTGTTCAAGATTTTGTGCAATTTGGCACTGATCAGAAGAGTATAATTGTAACCAATATCGATTATATCAAGTCCTTCTCACTACTGATTGAATCGTAACGATTAAGGTAATAAGAAGTTACTAGTTAGGCGTTTGGAGCCCTAGAACTGTTATATTGTAACTACGAATTAAGGTTGATGAACTTCCAGGATAGGAGTAGTGAAATGCGGTACTTGTCAAGCTGAGAGATTATCATTGCCCGGATGAAAAGTTTCAACGCTCGCTATGGTTTCAGTAGGTGAACTCTAGGTCAATAGCTACAACATAAGTTATAACTGAAAATAGTACAACTCTCAACCACTGGTTTTTGCCAAATATCGTTAAGAGTGAGTCACTGCTAAGTTTAACAAAATAGCCCAGCCTGAAGCGTTAGGGCTTAAAGAACGCTCAAAACTCACTCACTGTCTTGTGTCGAAATACTATTACTAGACCATCAAGATCATTTTCACCGCGTTTAGCGTAGAAATTGATGAAAATGCAGCTACCTACTGAATATTATTGAGTAGTATAAACAATATGCAAAATAATTGAAGGGTGTCGATTAATGACAGAGAACGTAATACAGACTTAACAACCTGAATCACGGTTAAAGCGTTTGAATGCAGTAAAGATAGAAAGAAACACTAAAAATCAAAATGTTAAATTATTTTGTGTGATCAAGTGTAGTATGTTTTTCGCAAATATAGTAATAGTTTTCAGAATGGTCACTTTGAGATTCTTGTAAAATCTAGTTCCATTCTACCCGTAAGGAAGTATGTTCACATAATGATGAGTCTGTAGGGACAACTGGAATGCATACTTTTCTTCAGACTGTGTGCAAATGAAAAATGTGCAATTTGAGGGGTAGCTTCCCATACTATAGGCTTACCCATTACACAATAACTTTAAATGCGTTTTATGCGTACACACTGTATTTGGTGTTTGTATTTTAAAACATATGAATTACTGTACATGAAATTAACGAGCTTAAAGCTCGCTGTTATCGATTTAGTTAAACATAGTATTACATAATAATAAAAATTCCCTTGTTCTCCTGAGGAAGCACTAATTATACTAGAACCTCTATTCTGCGCTACAATCAAACGGAATTCGTTGCGTGGAATCAGCACAGACGTTTTGAGTCCACCATTAGATTTCGTAATTTATATCAACACGATGAGTAGTCTTTAACCACATCTGATGTGAATCAGTCACCCTTCAACGATATTGTAACTGGTTGAGTAGTTTTGTGGACCGGTTATAAAATGAAGCATATGAATCAATGATGGCAACCTAACTGTTGAATACACTCGTATAACATTGGAGTGCTGACTTATATCACCACTGCGGTCGTAGCTGTGTGTGACTGAGGGGTTCCATAACAGGGGAGATGACTGCTCAGTGCTTCCTTGTTTTCAAAGACATACTAAGGTCACTATGAATTAAGCTGTAAATGAGTTGTTATTCGATATAAAATTTCACTTATCTACTAATAGGATATTAGGTAACAATTTCCGGATTGACATTCGAAATACATTTCCATGTTTCCAAGGTAATCATTATAATAGCTTCCGGATTGATGTTTCTACAACACAATGGATGCCGCACTCAATATAGATGGTCTTAGAATATCACGTATCTTCATAAATAAATTTTCTGCGAAAAATATTCACGTAGAAACAATATAAGGGTTAAACGACTCTGATGATACAACCTCTAATTCGCGCTACAATCAAACGAAATTCCTTGCGTGGAATAAGCACAGAGGTTTTGAGTTGACCGTTGGATAACATAATTTATTTCTTCAGTGACATACTATTCAGGATAGATATTTCTACATTTCAACCAATACCACACTCAATATAGATGGTCTTAGAATATCACTTATCTTCATAAATAAATTTTCTGTGAAATATTTTCACATAGAAACAGTCCAAGTGTTAAACGACTCTGATGATTCGAAATAAAATAACCACCTATAAATACCTTCTTTGGGACAACAACATGAAGGCGAGTATTTGTTGAATTAGATCTACTGAAAACAAGATTCCTGAAGTCTAGCATATATGAACGTATGTGTGGGCATAGCTCAGCCTACTCGTCATCATATATCTGCAACTTATTTTTATCTGACTATAAATATAGAATCTTGCTTGATCAAATTGACCTGTCTCCTTCAACTTTTCCACTTCACATTACCGCTTCTTATGTTGAATATTTGTATGGATAAGCGAGTGCTTGAAATAAGTCGTTCCTGTGCAGCACGTATTTTTGTGGATATTATAGTAATTTAATAGTTGAGATCATGAGTCAATTGAAGCTAGACCACCATGGAAAGCTTGGTAGCACTAGACGTTTATTTCGTCCCATTGTTGTTCTTCTCAGCATTGCGTATACACGATCAAGCATCACGAGATTCCAATCTAGGACCTATCGGTCTCGCTCGCAAACGCTTAACCTATAGACCACTGAGCCGCCATCTAATGGATCTAGTATTTAACTTCGACTAATCCACGAAATTGAGCGACACATCCACCATTGTCATCAGTGAGTTACTATCTCACAACTGACCCGGTTGAAATCCATTGGTCACTGCTTCTCACTAGAACTCCAGGAGATAACTCTTGAATCCAGTCACTAGTGAGCAAATGCTGATTACAAACAAATTTCTTCACACATCGTCATCACTGGGTGACGACCAATGTCATGTATGTCAAACCCTTCTTAGTGCAGATCGAAACCTATCGACCAAGTTGCATTGTGGCCACTAGTACTCTAGGTGACTCGACATTGTATGCATTATGTTGAGATAGGATGGTAGTTGGACGTAGTCAACAGGAGACCTCGCACCTGCACATTAGTCTCAATGAGTATGTAAAACTTTTGACAGTATCTGTTCATCGGTGATTAGGTGGCCATGACGTTTCATGGCTCTTTCAGTTACTGCTATCCAGAGCACATTACACGTGGTCAATCGTAATTTACACAGGTACAGGTCGAGTGTTCTTGAATCTCAGTAGTTGGCTTCCCTTCTGTACGGCCTCTTAAATTTCCCTCTCCGTCCCTTCGTCATATAAAATCTAAGACTACGTTCTCCACGTTCACTATTTTTTATATCTGTAATGGGTAAAGTGTGTTACGGTTCTCTTGCTCTTATTTAGAATCTAGGACTCAATTGCACTATCTAACCAAATTTATTCTGTGACATCAGTGAAGCTTTTGCAAAGAACATTGAGTGTCACTTTTTATATCACCGTCATTATTAATGAAGTCCACCCATGTTATGTTTGAGGCAGTTATTTAGCAACGAAATTTCCAACTGGTTGCGCAATATCGCTAAACAATTAAACTTACCCATGAAGATCATGTAATCACGACTCAGTTGTCTAGACGTTCAGCTCTCTTGAAGAGAACGTGATGCTCCAGGATTCGATTCTTCTTGTAGTTGTAAATACAAATACTTAGAAGTGTATTGATATAAATACAAAAATAAAAGATAATCGATTCTATTGATTGAAGACAAAGAATAGCCCATCAAACTGATTGCTTATTGAATTGAATCTATTGGAAACATGATTCATGTAACTGAGTATATTGGCGGTAAACTGACATGAATTTATCATATAGTTCCCACTCTACAAATAAAATTACAATTCAATAGAGAATCAACATAATTACATAATTATAGTCATTGATAGCATGATAAGTGAAACTAATGCTTTATAATATTGTGCTTCAGTGTTTTAAGGTATACACACACTTATCAGGATGAAACCTCTATCGGTCATATCGCTAATCGGAAGATCCAAATAACCAATACAAAATGAATTAAACTTTACACTTATCCACGTGCTAATTGCTAGCTCCACTCAGTAGATAAGTAGAAAATACGATGTCATCTGAAGTGAAAAATAGTGGGTTCGAATATAGGAGTGAACATCAAATTTGGGATGCAGGCATATCCACCTGATGAGTGCGAAATTCGATGAAACTCACTTCCTAGATTCCAGTGCTAGCCACTATTCATCTCTGTTTAGAATGCATGTAAATTAAGGTGATATCAACATAATCCTCACAGGATGCATATCTGTCAGTGGGAGACTGATCAATTTTAGTTGTAAACATCACTGTTAAGAGAACATACGTTGAGAGGTTCAAACATTATAGTTCGTTTCTCCTGTTTAATTGTACGTCTCATGTAACTGGCAAAACATGCATAATTAAAATTCATCTATTAATTATAATATGAAGTCATGAGAGTTGTATGTTGTTAGTTTCATCATATTTCATTACATATTAACTTACGTTTAAGAATGATATCTGATTGATCAATGTACTCAGTCGGTGTATAATTCACATTTATATCATCTGGTTTTATATGATGATTAATATGAATAAGTTTTGGTTGTTTAACAATTGTTGTATAATTACGCTTTTTCAATTCTGTATAAGTTAACCAACTTACAGGACATCGTTGTTCATCACTTCCTGCACTTAATTGAATATTCCATTCACATGGAATCTCATATAAAATGTATTTGAATTCAAATAATATTAAGTTTAAAATATCCTAAAAAGTGGATGAGGAAACGAATAAATAAGTGACGATGTTTGAAATAAGCTGGTGTTAGTACAGTTGTACATTCTGTAAATGATGGACTGAGAGGGGGAATGGACATAATTCTCTATTCCAATTATTATTCAAATTTTATTTCTTGTCAATGTAATGAACTTATTATTTTATTTGAACAAATAATTATTGGTAAGAAGGGTCACCAAGTACATATGCGCCATACAAGTCTGTTGTTTTATGTAGGGGGCTGGGATACTATCCGGGTGCCCATACCGGAGCAGGTAGCTTTCTTAGGGGGCCATACCCGAACCTTTGACCTAAAGGTCTGATCCATAAGGCAGTGGAATAACTGCAAAAGATGCAGTCTTATGGTAGTCATTGACTAACAAGTAGTTCTTACGCCATTCGTTCACTCAGAATCCTGCAGCCCATGTGCACCAGTGGTATGGATCCACGGATTCCCAACTATCCTAGGTGGATCCTTCTTATCCACCAATCCGGTTAAACCAACGGACATTCGCTTTTCATCCTCTCAGTTTCGTAAACAACATCCCTGGTGAGAGAAGGCAGTGAGTAGGACTTCCCTGTCAGTGGTGGTATACACGTGAATATGTTTGAGTATTTCGAAAGGGAGAGCTGACTCTCACCACTCTCGGTCGTACCAAGGCATTCGGGTGCCAATGTAATGAATATGTTATGCCCTTTCGTTTTCATAATATGATGAAATCTCAATGTTGTTCATTAAACAATAGATTTATGGTACTTTTATGCTTTCTTATATTTAAACCCTGACTTCTATAACTAACTATTAATATGTCTATTTCTATCAATAAATTACAGTTGACTTGTTAGTATACACATGATATTCAGAGATGGTATAGAATGCTTAATACTCTGATGGATGATTTTTATGGAGTTTCGTTTATCTGAACTGAATGATTGAGTCGTGGATAGTCTCTTTCTTTGGTCTGACTCTTCATCATATATTTGTCAATGATTTTTCTGGTTGGTTAATAAACTGCATCGATGTTAACGTGTTTGTTGATTGCTAAGCTCCTACAAATTCGCTAGCGTTCTCATTATTCCCTCCTACCAAGATTTTGACACTTTTCCACTCGAATGTGCCTCCACAATTTTCTACATACATTTATGTAATTGATAACTTATAAGCCACGATACAGTATTTATTCTTGTGTATACTGTAGAGTATATAGGTCTCCGATCAGTGTGTTCTGTAGATGTATTTAAATTATGATTCCTGAGAGTGGGGGTCCAGTTCTTTCGTTTGCTAAGTCAAAAGCTCTTTGGCTAAAAGTCTCAGTTATTGTTTTCAGTGTGTAATTATTCAAGGCCCATCAATCCTGATGTAATTCCCAAATGATGGTCATAAACTGTGTTCCACGTCGCGATGTGAGGGGAGTCGAAACGATATCTGATTGTGTTATGAGCGTGAATATAGTATGTAATCAATAAACCACTTCCCGTCATTATAGGAAGACGCAAGCATTCAAATAGAATATCCGGCTGAGTGACGTTGTACACTTTCCATGACTAGTGTAATAACTTCACGATATTGCTCTCCCCCAATTCATTTTTAATAAATGGTTGAGCTCTGAAGTGACATCAGTACTCTGGTAATTCGCTTTGTGGATATAAGTTTCTCCTCCTAATAAACTAGTGGAGATTGTAACTATGTGCTACTGTTTAATAGTGAATGAATTTGCTTCTCAGTAGTCACACTGATGGAACTAGGTAGTTCGTAGAGTATTATTCAATTTCTTTTCGTTTGCCAGATCAGTAATCATTTGAATAGTGTCATTAAGATTTTGTGTACCTTAGAAACGCGTGTTTGGTAGAAATTTGCAAATTGGTATCTTCATATGCGTATTGACAGCCATTAAAAGTAGTTACGATTAATATGTAAGAAGTTTGAACCTACCTGTTCACCAGTGATTAAGTAACCTTGACGTTTAATAGCTCTTCTAGTTATGCTCAACCATAGATGATTCCAATTGGTTGATCGTAATTTAGACAGATAAAGTAACAGAATACCGTTATTATATCCGTAACCCTAAAATAAACATTATGCATATGATCCACCATACTATGCACAGACGAAGTAAAGTTGATTGCACAGAAGTTGATGTTCTAGGTACTCAGCTACGGCATTGGCCTAACAGCAATCAGTATAAAAGCTATTTAGAACGTTTGATTATGTATTATAACAGTCCCTTAATAATCTAAACTAGGAGGTGACTACGCATCTCACTGAGATAATCATAATTCCTCAAGATTCTGCATATACCTTCCAGTTTACAAGTACTGAATTACGCAAAACTCGTTTCCAGGATGTTTTTGTCAATCAAAGTTTAAAACAATTAGTCCCTTTGATAAATTTCGATAATGCAATGAGAAGACGTAGTTTATCAGAATTATGTGACATATTTGCGCAATACATTTCGAACAGTCTGATCACACATATACTTGTTTAATAGGCTAGTAAGTACATTTCAACTTGATGGACACAATTCAAACGTCACTACAAAAGAAACAAAGTTTTCACAAGTTCTGAAATCAATCATCTACATCCATGACTGCAATCTGATATAAATAAGGGAGATGCAATTAGCTTTAAACGATTATTGCTTGATAAAAAGCAGGTAGTGCGAGAATATAATTTATCGGCGAACCAATGAAATTGAGGATAGCATGTCTTGGATTGTCGCGCGAAATCAATTCATCCATAGAGTTAAATAGCATTTTGGCATTATTGCTGGTGGCAGTTCGTGATGAAAATCCTCACTTTCATTCTTAAGCCTAAATTCCAACTCGAAATCCTAACCGTAACTCCTGACATTAATTTATAACCTGATTTTGACAATTGTAGCTCTTCTAGAGTTGCTGCTGGTTCCAGGTTCTGGTAAGGGAGGAGGTCAAACGCCCAATCCCGTAGAACAATTCTTGCTAAAACAACGCCAACCACATTAAACAAGTAGGTGGGCTGTCTCTAGATCAGTTCAGAGTAGCTCACAGTTAGTCCATAAATTATAGTGTCAGTGCAATTGTTCTTGAAAAGGACAGTGATATACAAAGTGTAAATCGTTACAAATGTAATGATGTATGAAAATGTTTAAACTTACTTTCCAATGGCTTTCTAACTTGGTCATAACTCCTTGAAAATATGGATTTTGTTCTAATCCAATACCTATGCTCTTTGAAAAATACAAAGACATGACGATTTGTAAGCCGTCAGAAGTATAAATTTGAAACGATCATCAGAGAATATCCTTCAGTAAACTCGATACACATAAAACATTGTCCACCTGAAGTTGAAAGTTCAGTCTCAATTTGAAATCAACTGTGAAATTAATGAAGAATGTAGAACACTGACCAGTATTACGTCAGGAATACTCACCAATGACTAAATGTCAAAATTAAATAAGGTGCACATGGGCTGCAGGATCCTGAGGGAAAAAATAGCGTATGAACCAATCATTGGTCATCGGTTAACATGGAACTGCATTTCAGAGGTTTATTTCAGACGGCTGAGCTGGAACCAAATTATCGATGATATTTCTGGATTTATTAGCTGATTCATATTCAGCATTCAACTTAATAGGTAATAGGTATCCCAAATTCAACATTATGAATTAGTTACATCATTTAACACCCGTTCATTTGACTATTAATTCTTCACTTCATTACCATAGTATTATGTTCTACAGTAGGAATTATATGGTTGGGGATGGCTGGAAGAAAGTTAGGGGTTGCCAAACCAAAACATGGCATCACACCTTGAAATCACTAACTTCTAGCATTAGCCATGATGATATATGCAGACTACTTGGTTGTGTTGCGTGTGACTATCAAAACCAATGGTTGGAGACTGTGTGACTTGGCTCAGAATTGATCACAATGGCGTATGTGTATACACTCCATATCTACTCTTAAAATATGAGATTAAAATCGCTTCATATCTTTCTTCCTTCCTGAACTACATCATTATATGCAATCTTTCTTTTATATACTACCACCATTGAATTAACTACTATGAGTCCGGTGTTCATCTTACTGTGTTAATGAGATAAGACAACTTGAATCGATACATATATGTGCCTGATCCTACGTTGTAGCTGACTGACTGAGGATTGAAGCAGTATGTACATGCTTAACACTTGGTTATCTCAAACCAGGTCGTTTAGACGTAGTTATAATCAACAAATCTTGTTCATCTCAAAACATGTTTATAGTTGTATTGAATAACCTCAACAGTGAATGGTAAAATGAGGTGACATTGTATTCTAATTGTTTATGATCATGTGTTTTCCCCCATTTTCTTGATTTTTCCGTATATGAATTTCGCATATCCTAAGAACCCTGATGAGGAGATAATGTTTTGGTTTGTTTTACGTCGTTTCAATCACTAGACCAACCTGCATTTCATTCAAATCATAAATCCATCAAACCTAAATGTTTGATTTCAAGTAGTAGACTGCTAATACAGAATATCTAGTAGTATATAATCCAACATAACCATGATTGATTAAATTTATATTCTACAATAATTTCAATATTTCAAACATTATGATGAATAATTGTGCGAGAACTTGCGCCCGTTGATTTTATTACAATCATATCAGTCTATGACTAAAACTACTCCTTCTAAAATCTTTCTTATCATGATCATGATAAACTGGCGGCCTGCTTCAAAATCTGGGCTACATATTCCTGCCATCAACATATTTCAACAAGTCATCTAATTCTGTTGTTTTTTGTACATCATTATGGCTATCAACCACATAACATTTTCAGGTGTGTTTCTGAAGAGTTTACAACTCTTCGTTGTACAGGTTATGAATGGCCTGATCAGTAATATCATGGTTGTTGACAATATGCAGCGACAAGAATGTAAATTATTTAGATGTCGATTGACTAAACTGTTAACTTTTAACTATCGATCACTCAATGTTCATCTTTCGGATCATCGAACAAGTGAGAAACGGAATCTTGTTGAAACACAGTGTGCTGACAATATATAGTATTGAATAAAGCCGATAATAATAATAATAATAACTCCTAGATCACTAATCTGTCATCCAACCAATTCCATATTTCCGTGTTCTCACTTCTCATTTTCTAATTGTCTATCACACACTAACTTCCACATAACTATTTGTTGTCACATATCTTATCATATGTTGTTACAAGATTATTTATCTGTTTGAAGAAACATTCTTCGCTGAATATACAAGAATCCGAAAAATATCTTAGTTATTTTCTTGGCTTTTGCAAATAAGGCTTTCGTGCACTTCACTTACTTCTCTTCACTTAAGAATTCATTAGGTTAGGCCTATTCATGATGTTAATAAGTGCCTCTGTTAGTCACATTTGAAAACTGATATCATAAATGACTGTCTCATTTAAATGTTTCATTGAAGACAATCTGAGTATTCACAATCCATACTGTTGGATCTTCAAATAATTCATAATGAAATCATTCCATTCATATTCATGCAATTGAACTGATAATAATGATAGTGTTTGGATTGTCATGAGTTGATAGTTCCATGGGAACAATGTGATGAACACTCAGTCATATATTTCTCTGTATTTATCAAGTAAGTTACACAAAATATAGATTCGATTCAGCTGAAACTCTACACTTTGATATCATGATATGTGGGGTGATCAACTACAAATGGTTATGTGAGAAGGGGTTTTGTGGAGATTTCAGAATTTCACTGATTGAAATCATGAGTCCATTGAAGCTAGACCATCATGGATACACCTGGAAGCACATCTGGAACTCAAAACAATTGTCAACCAACATCTAGGTCAGAATTCTCATTACAAATGTCAAGACAGTTCTATGGTATGTGGCAGAAACTTGGCGAACTAGAAAAGCATTATCCAGAAGATGCAACTATTTATTGACAATTGTCTATGTAAAATACTTCGGATATGTTGGTCACCAACGACCTACAATGGAAGAGAATAAACCATATTCAAGCGTAGGAAAGTATGTATAAGAAGTGAATTAAGATGTATATTTCATCAGTTGAGTCAAACACATCTATATCGAAAATCATATCAGTCAATCAGTCAGTTACAACGTAAAACCAGGTACGCATTTAACAGACTGTAAGTAACAGTTTTGATGATATGGATTTATAAGCCAATGAATTATATACGTAACGATGAACACTATAAGTTACTACAATCAACAATTTTCATCATGTTTATGATAAGAATTATTAACTCCCCTAATCACTTTCACTGCCATCTCATCATTATCCGACTATTTTTTGGTGTCAATATTAGAACGAATAGTTTGACAACAATTGGGCGCCAACTATAGACAAGTCATTATATGGGAAGATTATATTTGAAATAATCTCAGTGATTGAAATTTACAATCATTACAACGTCTCGTCCAGTAAACTTGTCTAGACTTCTTCAAGAATATAATCGAAATTACAAAGAAATATATAGTGTAAAGCAATCATATCAAACCAAGTCAAATCTATTCTGTGCTAATTCAATCATATTTAGATATTGACATTACTTACGTCTGTTACCCTAAATAGAACATAGGCCGCCTTCAACACACTCTATGCTTAGCATACCATTCTCCTCCTCCTCCTCCTCCTCCTCCTCCTCCTCCTCCTCGTTCTTCTTCTTCTTCTTCTTCCTCTGCTTCTGCTTCTGCCTCTATCCAATCCCTCTTCATTCTCATGACTGCCTTTTCTATTTCTCGGCGTAACGTAATCTTTGATCTTCCACGTCGCCTTTGCACTTGAGGATTGCAAGTGAGGGCTTGCCCTATCATGCAGTTGGGTTGGGTGCTTTCCTCAATCTGTGTCATATCCACTTCCAGTGTTTCTTCTTAATTTCCTACTCCTCCTTCTCGTCCTCCTTCTTCTCGTCCGCTGCAATTTCGTTTGTTCTCTCCCACAGTAGGTTGTTAGGTTGAGAGGATATTGACCTTAGTAAATAGAGTAACATGAGTCAGTTAATAAATGCGAATTTTGTGAAAAGGTCACAAAGTGAAAATAATCACTGAACAAATTGTGTGAGTAGGTGTGTGTGTGTGTGTGTGTAACATTGAGTTATGAATGATTGATATTAGGTGTAAAATTTATTGTTCTATTCAAGAATAAACAAAATGAAATAAAAGTGCAAGTTGAAGGTTGAAAAATTATTATTTCTGATGTGCATGTAACAGGAGAATAAACAACTGCATATTTCAATGGTTGAAATCATGAGTCAATTGAAGCTAGACAACCATGGAAAACCTGGAAGCATTGGATGGCCGTCCCCTCCTAGTATGACACTCCTCACCAGTGCGCATGCACGATCCCGTCCCCCGCGAGATTCATATTTGTATTATTATTATTATTATTATTATTATTATTATTATTATTATTATTATTATTATTATTATTATGATGATGATGATGATGATGATGATGATGATGATGATGATGATGATGATGATGATGATGATGATGATGATGATGATGATGATGATGAGAAAAGGGTTTTGTGAGGAAGCAAGAACAGCCTGAACATTGAGAGAGAGAGAGAGGATGGAATTCAACTAACGACGACTTGGCATTATCCGTCAATAAGTAATTAGATCCATCCTCTATTCAACCGGTTTCTTTCATTACATACATCGATATTCAAACTGAAATGAATGTAGGTTATTTTTCTCAATAGAATTATGTAATTTAATAATTGGCTTCATGAGTCAATTGAAGTTAGACCATGAAGGAATGCCTGGAATCAATTTGTAACTTCCAGAATACAATTCAAATGTGCAGTTAGTCTTGTTCTTTTAAGAAATTCAAAACAATTAGTCCATTTGATAAATGTCGATAATGTAATAAGAAGATGAAGATTATCGGAACTATGTCATGATGATATATTAGCGCAATACATTTCGAATAATCTGATCACACATTACATACTTGTTAAGAGCATTTATATATCAAAATAAAAAGGTCAACTAGACTGAAAACGGGATAAGAGGAGATAAGGATGTCATTCAAAGTCTCTAATCATTGATTACTATAATCATACCGACCTCAACCAGATAATCTGTACTTATTATTAATATGGTTCATGTTTTGTTAAATGATACAATACATTTTTTCTATAGATAGATATTATATTTAATGACATATCTATATTTGAATTGAATTGATAACACTACCCGATCTCCCAAGTT